ATGTGCTGTTCTCTTTAGAGCATACTCATGCTCGGATTTTTGGGATACGCTCTGGAGGTAATTACGTTCAGATACATCCATTTCATGGTGGAACTGCGGTAAGATACATCCAGCATGGCTCGTATGTACTCATACTTGATTGATGGCCAGCAGAAGGAGCGATGTCCTTGAAAAGAAAACACAAATAAATGAAATAAATAAATAAATAAATAAAATAAAATAAATAAATAAATAAAAAACAGAAATAAGAAGAAATGAGCGATTTTCTTTCCATTCTGTTTTCTTCATTCCATTGTCCAATCAACCTTCTTCGCTTTTTTGGCCGGGGCTGATTTTTTTATTTTCTTTTTCCCCGAGAGGAGGGCTGAATTTCACGGCATTGAAAAAGAAAAGTCTGAACGTAATTAGAGGTAGCATGAAGGAATCGAGCATAGCAGTTCAAGTACAGTCTGCAGTAGAATTAGAGGTAGATAGGAAGTGAATTTTTTTTATTTTATTTTTTTTAATTTGGACCATTTCGTGTCATCCTTGCGCAGGGGCCATGCTAATCTTCTCTGTATCGTTCCAATTTTAACGGATGTCCCGAAGGACGAGAAGTGAATTTTTTTGCACTACAGAGTCCATCAGATTCTCCGGCTGATGCTGCCGCGATAACTCCGGGTTGAATTGTGAGGTCCCCGGCCTCAAGTGAGAAGCCCTTTTTTTTTTTCTATATTCTTCTCTCAACTTCTGTTTCTTTTTACCTTCCACTACCTACTCCTAAGACTATCTAGAGGGGACCCCTGCAAGCATAGTTTCCTCTCTCTGTGAAGGGGAGATTTCTTGTTGCCCCTTGCCCCTACTGGTTAGGGTATAGGGTTGGGGCCGCCAGTGSGGGTCTGGCTAACACAAAGACCGAGACCTGCCAGTAGCTGTGCCTCCCTTTCTCATCGTCCCCCACCCTTCATCGAGTAGCAGCAGAGGCTATGGCCAACACTCTCCCACACACCTGTCTCTTATACACATCTAGATGTGTATAAGAGACAGGATCTGACTGCCGCGTGCAGACGAACAGGTTCCTCTGTCCGTCGTCTCACTTCTGTCTGCGCCCACTCCGCGATTCCTCGCGATTCCCCCCACTTCCCAACGATTGCCCGCGGTTACCCGCACGGAGCTTCTCTGCGCCTCTCCGCGCCATGCGCTCGAATCGGTGCGATGTCCACTGAGGTCCCACTAGCAACGGGATAGGATAGAAACGAGTTTGTGGGCATTTTCGCATTTTCGCATTTTCGCTTTTTTTGTTTCTTTTTCTTTTTTTGAGTAACCTTTGTGTGTGAGGGGCCGGGGACCCTACAATTCAACCCGGGGCCAAGTCCCACTAGCAGCGTCGAGTTTCCTCAACACTTGAATCTGGACGTATTTGTGGAGAGGTGCAGTTGAGGAAACTCAACGCCATTTCTGCAACTCTCCACAAACACGACCACATTCAGGCGTTGAGGAACCTCGACGCTGCTGGTGGGACTTGGCCCCCGGTGGAACCTCTGGCATCTTTTAGCCTGCTTGGCTTTTTACGGCACCAAGGACCCGACTCACACCAATATGATTCTGTGGCAACGACTTATTCTACTGCTGACACAACTGTCTGAACGTAAGGATCCTGCTAAATGAAGAGTGAGTTAGGGTTGGACCCCACAGGCTGGCGGCCTGGAAAGCGGGCTGGCGGAAGTCGGCGTCGGAAGGCCAGCACGACCGGAGAGCGATCAAAGGAGGGGACCCCACCGCCACCGCGAAAATGTGCTGCTGCGGGCCCCGCGGTTTCCCGAACAGGAAAGTCGACCCCGAGGTCTCCCGAATAGGAAAGCAGGTCCATCTGGTTGTGTTCCTGGGTCCAGGCGCAAAGGCCCCTGGACCGTTCCTGGTGCTCCAATGTGCGACGGGTTGGGTGACGCTGTACTGTGAACGGCACAGGGTTCGCGACTGCGGGGTGTCCGAACGGCCACATTTTTAAAAGGGCCGCGGTTGCTGTCCAGCTGTGCTGTAACCGACTGTGCGATTTGCCGTTGGCAGCTCGTGTCAGCATCCGCTGTGCCATCGCCGAATCAAGGAGAAGGAAGCAGTGCTGTATTAAGGAAGACAGGATAGGGAGGGTGTGTTGTCGTGTGAAGAAGAGTCGTGGACGAGCAGTGGGAAGATAGACTGTTGTTTCTCGTCGTGGCTGTCATGCAGTGGGTGAGTCGTCGTAATGTGACCGCCATGGCCGTCCTTGACGCGGCTTCTCTATTGCCACTGCGCGACAGCGAATTGGCGATGTCCATGACGATGCTGGGCGGCGTCGTTTGCCACACCCTTTCCATGTTGTCCGCATTGGCGGCCGGTGTAGAGGATCGCATGCGGGGCAGGAGGAGAGTGTGGGTGCTTGAAAGGAGCAGCGGTGTGTGGGAGGACCTGCAGCGCGAAGGGGAGCGACATGAGAAGGTGTTCAGGAGATTCTGCAGGCTACCGCATCCTGTGTTCAACGACATTCTGCAGCGTATCGGACCTCATATACAGCGAGCAACGATGAATTGGAGGCAGCCGTTGCTAGCGGAGCAGAAGTTTGCTTGCGCGCTTATCAGGTGGGCAACAGGAGGGTTTTACAGACAGTCCGGTCATGGTCTGGGTATGGGACTCGCGAGCGCCCTGCGCAGCAACAAGGACGTCACTGAGGCGATCATCAGGGAGTACGGACATGTCTTGTCTTTTCCGGAGGGGCGTCGGTTACAAGAGGTCATGGACGCCTTCGAACGCAAGGGTTTCCCTGGCTGTGTGGGTGCAATCGATTGCACACATCTGTACATAGAGAAGCTGCGGAATGAGCACGCTGCATGCTACTACGACCGGACAGGCCAATTCTCTATTATCGCGCAGGTCGTCTGCGATCACGACTGCCGTATTCTTGACGTGTTTGTGGGTTGTCCCGGATCGTGCCATGACATTCGAGTCCTCAAACATTCGACACTCACCACCGACTACGACAAAGGGGTGGGTGTTCTACACGGCGAGCCAGCCACACTTCGAGACGGGAGCAGCATTGACCGTTTTTTGTTGGGTGATGCAGGTTATCCGTTGTTGTCTTGGCTCATCACCCCACATCCTACCAACAAACCTCGCACTCCGGAATAGGTGTTGTTCGACAACATGCATACGACAGCGAGGAGCTGTATAGAACGCACGTTCGGGTTCATCAAACGCATATAGAGGAATTTCGGGCGTCGCCACATCAGCAACCTGAAGACAATCGGTAAGGAGTTCATGGCGTGTTGCATACTGCACAACATCCTGTTGGATTACAAGGTGGACATGAACGGTTTGGCCGGATGCGATAGCGACGATTCGGATGATGACTCTGATGAAGACTGTCCACAGCCTCCGCCCGACCAGCCACCCCTGTATGAAGGGGAAGCCATGTCGGAACACATAGCGGAAGCGTATAACTTGGAGGCGTCGAAGGCCATCAGGAGAAGGTTTGTTGGCCATGTCACCTATCATGCAAGAGTGCACGGCCCCCCGGATCCAAGTCCATGGTTGTGACGCCATCTTCGTACATGGGCACATACATAGATTGGAAGATTGATAGGTAGGCAGGAGCGGAGAAATAGAAAGAGCCCTCCGAGTCGTAGTTGGTTGCGGAGCAGTTGCGCATCGTTATTCGTTGTTGTGTGTAATGTCATCGATAAATTTATCGTCGTTCATTCCTTTTGTCGACAAGAATCCCATGTTTGCCACGTTATCAACTTCGTTGTGTTCTTCTTCGCTTTCGTGTGCACGGACCTAACTGTTCGTATGCCCATGTCATGAAGCAACACATTGTGCAAACTTCGCAATAGTGATCCGTGCATGGAGTGAGTTATCTGACAAGAATTCGAACAACACCATACTAGGTCAGGGGTTTTGAAAAGGATGGGGAAACATACACAAAGGAAAAAATTGAAAGCATGCAAGGTGAGAGATAAATACACAAACCATAACTTGAACACATACATGGACAACGAAAACCGAATCTCCACACAAAAGATCTTCTATTCGAAAACGGCCTCAAATCATCCAGAGCACGTGTTCTTCGAAAAGCAAACATCTCACAATCATGAAGATAAGGACATGAGATCGGACACGATGGCGGGCACAAGGCCGTTGTGGAGATTCGGCCTCCATACAGCATGACCT